AATATAAAAGAATTGAGATCATACCATGCACACTTTCAGATCACAATACTATGAAGCTTGAAATCAGCCACAGGAAAAAGTCTGGAAAACCTCCAACAGCATGGAAGTTAAAGAACATCCCACTAAAGAATGAATGGGTCAGCCAGGCAATTAGAGAAGAAATTTTAAAATGCATGGAAACAAATGGAAATGAAAACACAACAACCCAAACCCTTTGGGATGCAGCGAAGGCAGTCCTAAGAGGAAAATGCATTGCAATCCAGGCCTATCTCAAGAAACAAGAACAATTCCAAATATAAAGGAGAATTATGAAACGTACATAGAAGGGGGCGCCTGGGTGGCTCAGTCGGTAGAGTGTCCGACTTCGGCTCAGGTCATGATCTTGCGGTTCACAGGTTCGAGCCCCGCGCCAGGCTCTGCGATGACAGCTCGGAGCCTGGAGCCTGCTTCAGGTTCTGTGTCTCCCTCTCTCTCTGGCCCGTCCCCGCTTGCATTCTGTCTGTCTCTCTCAAAAATAAACGTTAAAAAAAATTATTTAAGATAAATAAGCATTGTTTAAAAGAAAAGAAAATTCCAGAGGGACGTGGAAACACGTTGTATACGGTGTGTGTGTGTGAAGCGACCCAAGCAGAAGGCACCGGTGTGCGCAGGTGAACCAGTGCTGAGGGCGCACCACAGGGACAAGACCCTAACGGTCTGCTCGCGACAGCTCAGGTGGCTGTGAACGGTCTGTAAAGGGCTGTGTTTGCTCTGCGGCGCCCCGCGTCCCTTCCAAGGCCCGGAGTCGGTGTCTGTTGGGAGAGGCACGTGTCTGTGACCCCTGCTGGCTGGGCTGCAGCCCGGGACACTCCGTACCGAGTCATGGAGAGCCCGGGTAGCCTGGGCCAGGCTTATTCCATGGTGAGGGGATGGCTTTCCCTGTTCTGTCTCCCATTGTGCTCCCCTGTTCTGCTTAAAGTGAATGCTCCCACCTGTCTGTATTTTAGACCCCCCGGGGGAGCGAGCGGTCCTTCCAAGGCAGAAAGGGGGTGCACGCAGCCACACGGTGCTCCAGGGTTGCGGGTGGGTCCGCTGGCCAGGGGGGGAAGGACGCAGGACAAGGGCTGGCTCTTGTAGGCTGTCCCCACCCTCTCTTGTACCACCTGAGCCCGCTGTGCCAGTGGTCTGTCCTCAGTGACCTTGAATCGCACTCTGGTTTCTCCCTTGGGTGGCACTTACTTGCCTTTTCCCGTTGGGGGCACAGCTGGGCCACCCAGGGAGCAATGAAATACACACATTCAAGTTTCTACTAACTTCTGTTCTGCTGCTCAGAATTCTCCCAGCCCGTCCCCATCAGCTTCCTGCGGCTGCTCTAACCAATCACCACAAACCTAGCGGCTTAAAATAACACAGATGTATTACCTTCCAGTTCTGGAAGGTCAGAAATCTGAGGTGGGTCTCCCTGGGCTAACGTCAAGGTGCCACGGACTGCGTTCCCTTCCGGAGGCTCCAGGGGGATATCTGTTTCTTTGCCTTTCCAGCTCCTAGAAGCCACCGGAACTCCCCGCTCATGGCCACTTTCGCCATCTTCAAAGCCAACGACGTTGGACTGAGTCTCAAGCTGCCGTCTTCATGGCTCTGCCTCTTCCCTGTGATCACACGGATCCCTCTTGGACCGTTCAGAAAATCTCCCATCTCAGGGGTGGCTGATTAGCGGCCTTAATTCCTTCTGCTGTTTTAATTCCCTTTGCCAGGTAAACATACCGCATTCACAGTTCCTGGGGATTAGGACAGGGACACGGTTGTGGGGGCGTTATTCTGCTGACCGAAGTTACCTTTCGGTGAGTCCCTACAGACTCCTGAGTGCCAGTCCGACAGATAGGGCTGCTTTATCAGCTGGTTGAACGTTGTACTTTGGGCATGCTTCTTCCGGTTGGCCCCAGTGCCCACGGTCTAATCACAAGGGTTAAACTCCGTGTGCCTTCCCTGACTTTCTCTGAGCCGACCCCAATCACAAGTCAACTCAGTCGGCAGCAAAGTCAAGTCAAGTCGATGGCAAAACCAGCCTCCTTCCAGGCCGTTCCTTGCGCTTGAAACATCCTTCCTCCAGACCACGGGACAAATGTCACCTCCTGGCGACGTCTCCTCGGGGACCCCTCACCCCTTACCTGCCGCTCTCTCAACACTTTACCTTGAATACTCCCTGCGATAACTTTAAGTATTTGTTTACTTGTATTTTTGACCATTAGATCCGTTATACCCAATGCCTGACACACAGTAGGTGCTCAACAAATACTTGCTGAGTGAATGTCTTCGATTCACGATGTGCACATCGCTCTCTTCCCTGCTACCCTTCCAAGCGCCTTATCCTCGATTCCTGTACGAGCCTCACCCGTTCCTGAAGGCTCGGCCCATGGTTTACCTTTTCCCCGAAGACGATTTTGGCCCACAGTCATTCATTCAACATTCATTAAGTGCCAGCAAGGGCCACTGGGGCTGCTCAGCTGATTAAGACAGGGCTCACAGCAGACTCAGAACCAGACGCAGCAGTCTCCCGTCCCTTTTAACCACGGTGCAATGTGGTTTCCATCCTCCTGACTGACTCTAAATTCCTTGCAGACAGAAGAGGCCGTGTGTGCGTCGCTGTGCTGTGCCCGACGCGGGTGACAGACCCGAGCCCCCCATGATTCCACGACGAACCCCGCGCACATGAGGGTGTGACGATCACAGGTCCTTATCGCCTCACTCTTCCTCTGGGGACCGAGGAGCCAGCCCTTAAGGGACAGACTTTCAGATGGCAAAACCCCGCCCCACTCCCATTCCAGAGTGGGATTTCAGACTTTGTCCCACAAGCCCTCTGTCCCAGAATCCCAGGCAGGCTCCGCACTGTCAGCGCAGAGCTCGACCTGGGGCTCGAACTCACGAACTGTGAGATCAGTCAGGAGGCCGATGCTTAGCCGACTGAGCCAGCCAGGCGCCCCCATCAGTCACTAGGTTTTGAACACAAACCTCCAGTTATGTATATTTATTTTTTATAAGTTCTGCATACGTACACGTCATGTGATAAAACACACACACTCAACCAGAAATTGTGAAGGGAGACAGCAAGAAATACAGTCGCCCTGTTATCCCCAGGGGATCCACTCCAAGACCCCAAGGGACATCGCGGACAGCTCTGAACCCTGGAGACACTGTTTTCTCCCATGCATACATACCTATGATAAAGTTTAATTTGATTAACACAATAATAAAGGACAATCATGTCGATATACTGTAATAAAAGCGATGTGAATGTGGTCTCTCTCTCCTGAGTTCCAGAGCCATGTGGCTGACATCCTTCTAGACACTTCTAGGTTTTTCATAAAACACCTCCATCTCAACATGTCTTCTCCCCAAACCTCCCCACACCCTTCACTCCTGGCCCATCAGGAAGCCGGCAGGGGGCCAGGTGCCTTACTGTGGGGGCCAAGGGTCCCTAAATCCAACAGCTCTCCCTCTGAACTCTCCCTGGCATCTTGGCCTGACTGCTGCTGGCTCTGCAGGGACCCCCTTGTTTCTTACCAACTGGCCCCCCTACCGAAGGCTCACCGGGTCCTTATTACTGCCACACAACTCCCTCAGACTCGGTGATCACCCCACGCCTGTGTTATCTTCAGGACAGAAGATGTTAGCTGTCAGCACAGAGCCCGACGCGGAGCTCGAACTCACAGACTGCGAGATCATGACCTGAGCCAAAGTCGGGCGCTTAACCGACTGAGCCGCCCAGGTACCCCTCCTCCTGTATTTTATAACCCGTGTAAATACACGTGTCTGTAAGTGTTCCTATTTGTAGCCATCGTGTTTATGGCAAACTGAACGTGACCTCATACCAGTTTCTCCAACGCTCATTTATGACCACGTGGATCATCCTAGACTCCTTATCTTGGCTTATCTGTAACCTCCCACCGTCTGCCATCCATTTAACTTAATTGTTTAATCGCAGTTGTATATGAAGAGTGGTCTCTCGCCGCATTTTACCTGTGAGTTTATTTGTCCTCAAGATCGACGCTCATTCCCAAGCACTTAAAAATAACCGCGGAGGGGCGCCTGGGTGGCACAGTCGGTTAAGCGTCCGACTTCAGCCAGGTCACGATCTCGCGGTCCGTGAGTTCGAGCCCCGCATCGGGCTCTGGGCTGATGGCTCAGAGCCTGGAGCCTGTTTCCGATTCTGTGTCCCCCTCTCTCTCTGCCCCTCCCCCGTTCATGCTCTCTCTCTGTCCCAAAAATAAATTAAAAAAAAAAATAATAATAACCGCGGAGATAATACAAGCCAGCCGCTGATCGAAGCACCACACGCCTTTTATTTCAATCCCATAGCCACGTGAGACACTTGTTCTTAGCTCCATTTAACGGAAGAGGAAGCTGAGGAACAGAAAAGCTGAGTAAGTACCCACATTGCACCATTACTAAGCGGCAGGACCACGGATGTGAGGTCCAGCCTCCCCCAGGCTAGAGGTTCCTTGATTCACACATCCGGCTGCACCGCTCCTCAGTGCCGAGAAATTCCCTGCTTCCTGCGCCTCCTTCCACGCTACGGGTCCCCGCACAGGGACACAGTGTGGTCCAACCACAGCAGCGAACTGTTTACTTCTCCTCTAAGTTATTTATTTAGCTCATCACCTGAGGGATCCCCATTCCACCCCCCACAAAAGCTGCTCCCGTCCCAACCGCCCCCAGCCGGCCCCGGGTCTGCCTCCCTAACTCCCCGGAGCAGGGAGCAGATCTCACATCCTACAGGTGGCCTCACCATCTCAGTTCCTGCTTCTCCCCTTCCAGCAAATACTGTCTGGGGGCCTCCTGGACGCCAGGCCGGGTCTAGGCAGCGGGATTCCGGGATAAGCAAAAGTGGCCAAACTCATGCTCTCAAGGGGCTGACGCTCCAGCAAGATCGAACTGCTCAAAGGAGCAGGGACCCCCTCACCCCCCCCACACACACCCCTCCCGCTGCGTTCTTCCACCTGCTCACAGGAAAGAAGCATGTCTTGGTAAAAGGGATCATATGTGTTTTATTGAGCATTCAGAGGCAATGCCATTCACTGCCCTGCACCAATATAATCCGGAATTAACAAGCTCCGACTCCATTGAAGTCTCCACAGGGACCTGCTTCGCAGCTTCTCAGACATCACACTTTCCAGGACTGGCGTTTCTGGAGACGGATCGGGCAAGAGGAAGAATTCCCCTGAACGCAGGCCTCCGGTCCCCAGAAGACCCATGGATTTCAGAAGAGGTGTTTCTCTGGCCAGATGTGATTCTTTCCATCCCGCCACCACACTAATGATTTTTGTCGTGAGAGCCGGCGTTATCAGGACCTGACGGCTGGCCCAGCGCGGCGAGGGGCGCCTGCTCCCCGTGACTCGGGGTTGGCGGCGGTCATCTGGAGACAGACGGCACAGCCCCGGTGCATTCCACCCCGGACGGCGCCTAGTACCGCACGTTCACGCCTATTGGCCGGGACAAAAGCCCGGGAGGGAAGCCGGCGCAGACCCACTCAGCAGGCTCCTTCCCTCGAGTTACTGCCCCCGAGTAGAGGGTGGAAATTCCTCCAGTTCCTCTTTTTCCGGGTGCACCTCTGACACCTTATTCATCTTGGTGAAAATCTGATTGATCTCTATGAAGGTCTTGGCCTTGGTCTCGGGGACCACCAGGAAGGTGTAGATGGTCGTGAGAAGACAGATCACGCCGAAAATGACGAAGCTGTAGGCTCCGAGGCCCACCTGTGGGAAGGGCAAGTGGGGCTCACCTTCTCCAGAAGCTTCTCCCTTAACCGCGTGAGGATTTTGTGCAGGGGGCAGGGGGGAGGCGGGGCGGCTGGCACTCACTTGGACGAATGGGAAGATCAAGCCCACCGTGAAGTTGGAGAGCCAGTGCACGCTGCCCCCCACCATGAAGGCGGCCGGCCGGGAAGACTGCAGGAAGGTCTCCGTGATGAGCACCGCGGGGATGGGGCCTTGGGGGGCAGAGGGGGAAGGAGGAGGAGCTGTCTCCTCTGGAAGCAGGCAAGCCCGCCAAGGGTCCCGGAGGCCCTGCTGTGCGCGGGGCGCCCGAGGCATCCGGCCCGAGGAGCGGGGTGTCTCCAGGACTCCTGGGCTGGCCGAGAAGCAGCACGAGAAGGCCAACAGCAAGAATATGGCACCGCAGGTGACATCCTGTGATGTCCCTAAAAGGGGCCCGGGACCACCGCAAGGCTCTCTACGCCAATCGCACGGGGTAGCCTGTTTCAACCCACAGGGCAAAGGCCGCTTTAGTGCGGTCACTCTAATAACTTTCTGAGCAAACCCCTGCGCGACAGGAAGGCAGGGGGAGAGGCCATTCTGGGGCTGCATGAGGCCTCCAAGGAGCCTCTCCAGGGGACCCAAGCCAGAAGTTTCTGGTTCAGGAAAGGAGGAGACAAAACCAGGGAGAGAGCCAGCTCTAGGGAACATACTGGGCCCAAGGGCGTGTCCCACGACGTAGGCGATGATGCAGGCGATGCTGACGTAAGGCATCCAGGATATTGTGTCCTGTGGGGAGAGGACATTGGATCACACCTGGCAGGGCAGAGACGACCTGGGTGGGGCATCTTGGTCCCCAGGGGCTGTGGCCGGGCTGGGCAAGGAGGGCACCTGGCTCCCCAGCAGGCCGTGCCACCCAGATGCCTCTGGGAAATCGACCGGAAGTGGGCAGCGGGCTACTTAAAATCTTTTTTTTTTTTTTTTTAACATTTATTCATTTTTGAGAGAGAGAGAGAGAGACAGAGCACTAGCGGGGTAGGAGCAGAGAGAAAGAGACAGACACAGACTCCGAAGCAGGCTCCAGGCTCCGAGCTGTCAGCACAGAGCCTGGCGCGGGGCTCGAACCCATAGACCGCGAGATCACGACCCGAGCCGAAGTCGGACGCCCAACCGACTGAGCCACCCAGGCGCCCCGGCAGTGGGCTGCTTAGACGTGGAGGCTCCCAGGGGGCCCCAGGGGGCAGATGGTCCCCAGGCGTCTGATTCATCGTAGTTGCGAAAAGATCATGTTGGTCACTTTCCTTACCATGCGAGTGAGGGCTCAGCGGACGGACTGGGCGCTCCAGCCGCCACCACACCCCCCCCCCCTTCCTCACCTGCAAGGCCAGGGCCGCCGTCAGCACGCAACAGGCCGTGAAGCAGACGGAGAAACCCAGAAGGAGCAGGAACCTTCGCCCCAAGAGCTCCACCACGAACACCTGCAAGGGAGGGGGCGGAGGGCAAGCAGGGAGGCTCAGCAGCCCCGCTAGACAGAGGCCGCACCCCTGCTACAGCCGCCTGCGCAGGAAGTCGTCCGCCCATCTCCCAAACCCCCCTTCCGAAGGGGCAGCTGTGTGCCCGCCTGCCCGTGTATCTGCCCCCCAGCAGGGCACAGGTAGTAACCACACATGGGACAGATTGGGGAAGAGCCACCTCACACAGCGGAAGCTTCCAGAGTGGAGGGCAGGGGGTCTCCATCTTGGGGGCGGGCACAGGCTGCCCCCCCCCCTCCAAGAGACAGGCTGTCATCTAACAAGTGGCCCGGAGATGAGGAGACCAAGAGGCACGTCACCACCTCAGATCTGGCTCTTTCCTCAGCTAGGACCCCCCCCACCCCCAACACACACACACTCGAGATGCCCTCGTCCTTGGTGGCTGTGGGGGACTCACGGCACAGACGGTCATCAGCACGTTGACGGCCCCGGTGCCCACTGTCACGTACTGGACGTCATTCTCCTTCACCCCCGCGCTCAGGTAGATCTGGTCCGCGTAGTAGTAGATCTGGAAGGCACCCCCAGAGGCTGGCGGGGCGCTCGGGGCCCCCTGTGATGACGACAGCGCCCCGCCCAGCCCCGCCCCCCGGCCCCCGTACCGCGTTCACCCCCGACAGCTGCTGGCCGCCCATGAGGACGATGACGGAGATGACCTGCCACCGCAGGGACCTCGTGCGGAACAGCTTCAGCACGGAGACGAAGCCCACGGCCCTCTCGGCCTCGTCCTCCTGCCGGATCTCCTCCATCTCGGGGCCCACGTCGTCCCAGCCACGCAGCCTCTTCAGCGCTAGGGGAGGGGAGCAGGGGGCGGGCTCAGGGGACCCCAACTTCCTGGAGCAGAGACGCCGCGGCCTCCGCCCCCTGCACGGTGGAGCCTTACCGGTTTGGGCAGCTACCTCGTCCTTCTTCTGAATCAGCAGGTACCGGGGGCTCTCGGGGAAAAAGGGTAATAGTAGGAGCTGGAGAGCCGCGGGGACCCCGGTCACCCCGAGGAGGATCGGCCAGCCTGCAAGGAGGCCAGTGCCCAGGTGAGAGCTGCCATCGCCCCTCCCCAGCCCCTCCCGCCCCGGAGCCCGGCCGGCCACCCTGTCCCCTGACTCGACACAGAGCTGACGACACCCCACACTGTCCCGTGCTCTGACACAGCGCCCTGAATATGCGGGGCCACCAGGACGCCTGGTCCGGCAGGGTCGGAGCAGCACTGGTCACAGACACGGAAGCCGCAAGCAAGGCCACGTCCACAGCACAGAGGGGCCACAGAAGCCACGGCGTAGCCATACGATAGAAGTCTGTACAGACCACGGTGGGAGCCCATCCCCGAAACTCAGCGTCCGATGCAGCGATCTACGCAATGGGGTCCAACTGGATGAAGTCCAGGAGCGGAAAATTAACTCTATCTTTGCAAAAGGTGGTAAAAAAAAAAAAAAAAAAAACCATGGGGGGCGGGGGCGGTGCAAGGATACAATGATGGTAAATGTCAGCACGGCGGCCCCCTGTGGGGGTGGGAAGGCCAGGGCTGAGGGCCGCAGCAGGCCTCCCCCTTCCCCTGCGGACTCTTAACCCAGTGTAATACAGGCGTGGACTCCGACCTAAGGCAATGGTCCCGTCACCCCCAGGGGGTCTCACTCCTGATGTGGGAGAGGAATAAACAAAGAACAGCCTCCTGTGTAGACATCATCTTTTCCAGGTCTTGTTTTGGCCTCTGACGCTTCCCCCTAAGAACACACGCCATGCGATGAGTTCAACTTCTGCCCTGCCCACCGCTCTGCCGGCTGGATCCTCTTTTTCCTGATCTCCTCCCCTCCCTTGACTCCAAATCCAGGGCCCGGCTAATCCCGGACCGTTTCCATCTGCTTTCCAAGAAGACCGGGACACCCGTTCTCAACCTCTGCTCCATGACCGCCTGCCTCCTGTGCCAACGTTCTCTTGTGGGCTTCCTTCCTTCCTTGTTCTCTGAGCATCTAGTAGTACGCACGTGCCAGGAGTTGAGCCGGAGAATAAGGCCAAGCCCCGCCCTCCACACTGTGTCCAGAGGAAGGACACCGACGACAAAATGGTCTCCATAAAGGATGGAGGGACAAATGAAATCCACACATTTGCGGTTCCCCGAACGTGGCAGGGAGATTCCACAGGTGTGCCCCGTCTGCCCACGTCTGGAAGGCTGGTCCTACTCCCTCCGTCGGGCCCGCTCTGAGGCCCCCCTCGCTGGGCACGCCAGAGAGCACTTCACCGACACCGGGGCTCTGAGGCTGCCCTGGGTCCTGCGGGTGTATAGGTGACATCACTGAGAGACAGGAACTTAGCCCCTGCCCTGGTCCCCGCTCCTTACGAGGCTGACTGGAAGGAAGACAGTGGTCGTTTCATGTGGAGCCCGGCCCAAGCCACCTGGATTTGTGTCCTAATGAGACCTTGGACCTGGTGTCCAACCTCTCTATGCCTCAGGTTCTGCATCTGGAAAACGGGTATAATGATAATACCTGCCTTACAGGACTATTTGGAGGATTAAATGGACTTAATCGAAAGACTTGGTGCCTGGCCCACCGTAAGCACTTTGTATGTTTTGGCTGGTGTTACCATTAATGGGGATTGCGAGACCCGAAGGGGGAGGTCATGCAGAAGCAGTGACAGTTACCAGTCACCGTGCACTTATGGTGTGCTGGGCCCGGGCTCCTGAGGAAAGTGGGGAGGCTCCAGAGTCAGGATCTGGAAGGGGTACCGGCCCTGAGACTCACCATTTTACCCCTAGGGGGCTCCCTCTTTCCTGGTCTACAGAGTAGGACCGGCAAAGGACCCCCCACCCTCCCAACCAGGCAGCAGCGTTGCTGGGAGGCTCGAGTGAGGCCTCAAGCACACTGGCGGTGGTCATTACCATGCCCCGGGCCCCTCGCTTGGCCACCACGCAAGCCAAGGGAAAGTCAGACAATGACACTTCCTGCTCACGCTAAAGCCCCCTCCTCTGTGTCCTAGGAGGGACTGGAAAATACTAGCCACATGGGCCCCGCCACCTTGTTCGGGGCCTGTTCTGTGCAAATACCACACCAACACCATGGGGCCAGGGCAGTGAGGCAAGGACACTTGCCTGGACACGACTGGAGAGGAAAGAGCAGCCCACAGAAACGTCCAGGCAGAAGGAGGGCTGTGGTCCAGAGGCGTCTTGAGCTTACCTTCTTCGCTCGCGAGGAGGCTCCGAAGGCCGAAGATCTGAGCCACGAGGATGCCGATGGTGATGAAGAGCTGAGGCACCACCCCGAGGCCCCCCCTCAGGTTTTTAGGGGCCAGCTCTCCCAGGTACATGGGGACAACATTGGAAGACAGACCTGGCAGGATTGAAGTGAAAACACCATCAGGAAACATTAGTCTGACCAGGACAGGGTCTGTCTTCAAACACACTCATTTTTTTTTTTTAATGTTTGTTTCTGAGCATGAGCAGGGGAGGGACAGAGAGAGAGAGAAGGAGGCACAGAATCTGAAGCAGGCTCCAGGCTCTGAGCCATCAGCCCAGAGCCTGACGCGGGGCTCGAACTCACAGACCTCGAGATCGTGACCCGGGCTGAAGTCGGACGCTCAACCGACTGAGCCACCCAGGCGCCCCTCTGCTTAGTGTTTTAAAAGAGGCTCGTTGTTCACCAATTCTTTCCCGTTGTCACAGCAATATCAGCCCTTAGAAGTCTGGTGGGAGGGGTGGGGGGAGACCCCGCAGACCTAGTGCCCACAGGGCTGGGAAGAAGCAGGAGCCCTTGAGGGGCAGGCTCCATGGTCACCACTCAGGGGTCAGGGGGCGGGGGACGCTTCTCAGCGGCAAGTTCTTTTTCACTTGACCAGGGACAAACTTGAAAAGGCAAACCTCAGAAGGTTTGTGAGAGACGGGGTCCCCTTCCTGCCGGTGGGAAGCAACCTCTAACCTGTCTTAAAAGGGGCTCCACTGGTGGGGCGCCTGCGTGGCTCAGTCAGTTAAACATCTGACTTTGGCTCGGGTCATGGTCTCACGGCTCGTGGGTTCGAGCCCCACAGGGGGCTCTGTGCTGACAGCTCGGAGCCTGCGTGGGATTCTCTCTTTCTCCCTCTCTCTCTCTGCCCCTCGCTGGTCCCTCAGGCCCTCTCTCATAAATAAATAAACAAACAAACTCCACTGGGCAACCCCAGCTGCTCTGTTCTGACAGAGTCAGAGAAAGCAGCTTTTACATTTGAAATTCCTTCCATGAAAGCAGTTGGTCTTCTGGCCACACAGGTTAACTAAAAGCCAGTGATCTGTGTCTCAAGTCCTGCTAACGTCTGTTCCTGTGCCCCCCTTCTCACCCCGCCCCCTTTGGGGGACCAGCTGCTCCCTTATTTTTTAGGGTGTCTGAGCAGCAGCTGCCGACTCACACACCGCCCAGAATTTCTCGGGAACCGTGCGCAAGAATTCACTGCGAATGGATTATGACTCCGTCGCTTCTCCAAGGGGGATCTGAGGACCTAGGGAACTCCCGACACCTTTTCAGGGGGCCTGTGAGGTCAAAACCATCTTCCAACAATCCTGAGATACTGCCCTGTATAGTGCCCACACGGTGGAGTGTTCCAGAGGCTCCCCGCCGTGTGAGGTCACGGCCAGCAGAACACAGAAGCAGGTCTGAGAAGCCAGCCGTCTTCTATGAGGCGGGACATTAAAGAGCTTTGCAAACCCGTGAAGCAATGCCACCCTTCTTGCTGAAACTCTTTGTTTCAGAATATATACCTATTTTCACAGAGACGTGTGACGGGCTTATCGTTGCCGTTTAGATGAATTACACGAACATTTCTTGGCTGCAATTTGTAAATGGTAGATATTGGCCAATACAACCCACACGAGCAAAAGCTCTTCAGGGCCCTCAATAATTTTACGAGTGTAAAAAGGTCCTGAGGCAGCAACTCTTTCTGCCCATGGGTCCTGTCCCTGTGCTATAATAAAAACACCTAAGAGAAAGAGAGGGAGGGGAAGGGAAAGAGAAAGAAAGAAAGAAAGAAAGAAAGAAAGAAAGAAAGAAAGAAAGAAAAGAAAGAAAAGAGAAAAGAAAAGAAAAGAAAAGAAAGAAAAGAAAAGAAAAAAAAGAAAAGAAAAAAAAGAAGATCCCGGAGGCCAAAAAGTTTGAGAACCACGGACTTAGAAGCAATGCTTGTTTAAGAGTAAAGGTTGGGGTTTTGGTGATTTGTTAACTATTGGAGCCTAATATCTCCCTGTGGGAACCAACTCTGGAGTGCTGGACGGTCAAGAGAAAAGTGCCTGCCTGCACCTGTCCTCTGCCGGTGACTTCCAGGAATCGTTTGTTTTTTCTTTCTTTCCTTTTTTTAAACGTATTTATTTTGAGAGAGTGAGAGAGAGGGAATCCCAGGCAGCCTCTGCTGACAGTGCAGACCCTGACGCTAGGGCTCAAACTCACACACCGTGAGATCATGACCACGATCGTGAGCCAAAGTCAAGAGTTGGACGCTGAACAACTGAGCCAGCCGGGCGCCCCGGAATCGTCTATTCTTTATTAGCGGAGCCCCGCTGCAGGGGGAGGCGGGAGGCGGGAGCAGGGCCAGACCAAGGCGGCAGAGACCCGTCCAGGCGCTCCCAGGGAAAGCAGTAGGGCGACGCTTGCCATGGGGCCCATCATTCCCTCCGGGACATGACCTCTTCTCTCTTCAGGGAGGCTGATTTCCTCTTTTGTCCCCCAGCCTCGCAATTCCTTGCCATCTCCCCCGACACCGGGCTCCTCGCCCTCTCCCCCACCGCCCAGGAGGGCCAGCTGAGGGGTTTGCGGACATCAGGCCAAATCATCCGCTCACCCCATCCCTGTGTTTGGAAGCAGAAAACGAGGGTTGGCTGCCAATGCCAGGGCCGGGTGCAGGGTTGCTTGACGAGGCGCCCAGGAGGCAGCCCTTTGGGGGCGCCCACCCTGAAGGTGCACGGCCCCGAGGGCGGGTGTCCCGCTTGCCCCCTCCAGCCCTGGGAAACACAGTCTACAAAAGAATGCCACGTCGGGGGAAGGCCACGGGCGTGGCTTTAGCCACATCTTTTCGGCCGGAAGGAATCACGGGGGAGTTTTCTACGACCACCGGAGTGCGGCCCTGGGGGGCCATAGCTCTGGAGGGTTTGCAAAGCAGCTCCGGGGGTTACGAGACCAGAGACCTCAGGCGAGTGAGTGTTACCCTCTTCAGCAGGTGGACTCTGGAGGAATAGGTGAAAAGAACCCCTAAAAATCCTTCTGCAAACTTCATGTTCCCTCTAGAAGGTGACAGGTTGCTATCATTAACTCTTCTTGGGCGGAGGGATTCCTACATTAGATTGTTTCTCATGTGTTTTTGACCACGACCCACGGTAAAAATGGGGAGACACGTTTAACGTTGCAAGCTGGTTCTCACCCACGTATACGGATAAGTCACCGAAACAAGTTTCAGAAGACCACCCTTACCCCTACTGCACACGACACAATCTACACTCTGCCTAGAAAAAGAAAATGCTGGGGAACCTAGGTGGCTCTGTCCATCAAGCATCTGACTCATGGTTTCGGCTCAGGTCATGATCTCACGGTTCGTGAGTTCGAGCCCCGCTTCGGGCAGGAGCCCCTCCCCCAAATAAATAAATACACTTAAAAAGAGAAAAAGAAAAGGAAAAGCTGCTCACTAATCAGGGGCACCACCCACTCACTGGCCCCACCTATGGCTTGGAAAACACGGAGATAAGGAAAGGAAAGGAAAGGAAGTGCCCTTGCGAACAGGACTCTGGATTTCTGTCTTTCACAGAACAGCTCTCTTTGCAGGAAGCATCACAGCGAAGCTCGGTCCCTTGACTGCATCTGAGAAGCGTCAGGACAGAGGAACAGCTCGTGTCTATGTGCTTCAGCGGTTCCAGAACGATCCAGACCCCGGCGTCTGCCCCCGCCTCCCCCTCCTCCTCGATTATCCTGAAGGACAGAGGCGTCGCACGTAGCACCATTTACCTGCACATATTCCCACCAAAAGTCTGGACAAAATGATCATCTCGAAAGACCCGGCGACCTTGCTGCACCCCATTAAGACGGCGGGCACTATGGAAAAGATGTTGTTGAAGAGCAAGGTCCCTTTCCTGCCGAGGACGAAATCTCAGTTAGTTTGGGTTAAGGGTTCAGCTGTTGTCTTCACAGATGTTCGCCAAGGGTCTGCCCGGCTACAGCAGCGGCCTTTGCTGCTGTTTGACGCTGTGATGGAGACCGATGGAGGTCAAGTGCACAGCCTGCGGCGGGAACATTCTCTGTGGGAGCCAACGGCAATGACCACAGTGCAGAGCACGTCAGCGGTGGGGAGCAGAGGACGAGGGCCGCCTGCTACGATACCCTGACGGGTTCCGGAAACCATACGCTCGCATGATTTTAGTGTAATCCTGCGGCCCAGATCAGGGAATGACATTAGAAGGATCTCATACGCCAACCCCACTTAGACCACATAGAGGGAGAAGTCCTAAACGAAATAGTAGCAGATCGAATTCAACAGCATATATGCGAATCTTTCAATGTTAAAAGGCCACACCAGATAAAACGCCAGATCTCCCTGGGAAACACAGAATTGTAACATTATTTTTAGAACTATAGAAGGCTATCTGTGGGACTCCAGGTAGGGAAGGCTGTCTTCAGGCGCAAGAGCCAAGAACCGTAACCGAGAGTTAAATCTGCCCACTCGAACGTTTAAACATCTCGTGTGAAAAAGATACTATGGATATGATTAAAAATAAGGCAACAGATTAAGATACTTGCCTGAAATAACAGTTACTCGGGACATGCAGGGGGGTGAAATTTCCTCCCAGCTGTATAATCTTGGGTAAATTACAGCATCTCTCTGTGCCTTGTTTTCTCATTTTAAAAAAGGAGATGACGGGGCTTTTGTAGGGATTAGGGGAATTAATAACCCTAAAGTCAACCCATCAGTCAACTATTAGTTGCTACTGTTATTTCAGGAACAGATTCTTCAGAAAAACACATTCATCACATTCTTTTTTTTTTTTTTTTTAATGTTTATTTTTTAGAGAGATAGAGTGTGAGCAGGGGAGGGGCAGAGAGAGAGGGAGACACAGAATCCGAAGCAGGCTCCAGGCTCCGAGCTGTCAGCCCAGAGCCCGACGCGGGGCTCGAACTCACGAACCAAGAGGTCATGACCTGAGCCCAAGTCAGATGCTCAACTGACGGAGCCCCCCAGGCGCCCCCAAAACTTATCACATTCCAAAGCAGAAAGCTGGACAAGAGAACTGTGGAGTTCAACACCAACCTTCCAGGAAGGCCTTAGGATCTTAGATTCCCAAACCAGAGGTTGTATGTTGCTAGTTTCAGACTCTTTTTGAAAAATACTGGAGAAGCCAGTGGGTTGATTCTCGACCTAGCAAGATCTGTGGCGAGAAGAGATCTTACCCGGCCGGCGTCTGTGTGCTCATCTGCCCAGGGAAAGGGCTGGTGGGGAGGAGCTCTTTAATACTGTTCATAACAAGGCCTCTCTCTCATGCCCATGGAATTTACACAAGGGGGTGTGATGTCTTAAGGACCTTTTTTGGAATCAACTATGGAACGAGAATCTCTAATGTTTCTGGAACTGGGGGCAAAGATACAAGCTCAGCCCTCGACATCCAGAACACTCACGGTGAGAGGTGTCCTGGGTCTACAGGATTTCACAGTCGAGTGCCTCACATTAATCTCAGCCATTTCAGGGTTTTACAGGCATTTAATTTGGACCCAATTTTGCCTATTACTTGATCCCGAGGTGAAAGAACTGAGTAGTGAGTTTGTGTTAGTTTGGGAGGCAGGGCTTAAGAACACTTATGATCTACATCAGGATTGACACGTTGGCCATATTATCTGGTGTTTGACTCTTTTACAGGCAAATAAAAAAGGTGGGGGGGGATGCCTGGGTGGCTCAGTCGGTAAGCGTCTGACTCTTGGTTTTGGCTCAGGTCACGATCTCACGATCTGTGAGTTCGAGCCCCGCGTCCGTGCTGACAGCACGGAGCCTGCTTGGGATTCTCTTTCTCCCTCTCTCTCTCTCTGCCCCTCCTCCGCTCCCACTCACGTACACCCTCTCTTTCAAAGTAAATAAACTTTAGAAAATCTTTAAAAAAATAAAATAAAGGCAAAAAAAAAAAACACAAAAACAAACGAAGAGGGCAGAACTTGGTTTTGGTTTCTGGTAAGGAAAAGACCCGTAGGGCAAGAGAACAGAGAGAGGGAGTTCTGACCTCCCAAGCACTTTCTGGTCTTTCTGGGTCTGCCCCAGGATTCTGACACCCATCGCTCCCACTTGTCGCCCCGAGACCCTGCTGCGTCCCCAGGTCAACATCTGGTCTTCTTAAGACCATATGAGACATCAGCAATCATCACAGCGGTTAGTACCTAGTTTTACAAACGGACGATTTCAGCTTGAGGCCTGCGTTTTAAACCGATGGGGTCTGGGAGCTACAGGAGTTGGAAACGCACCTTTCCTTACCTGCCAAAGTTATTCACCAGGGGGCCGACCATGAGGGACCCGACGAAGCCTCCGAAGGGAAACATGGACACGGAAACAGACCACAGCAACGTCAAGGCAAACTCGTCCATGTAGCCATTGTTCCGCTCATAGTAGGTCTTGTTGTAAAACGTTTTCATGAACTGCAGAACAAAGCAGAGCAGAGCGCCCGTGTACCTGGACCCGGCTTTGCAGACGGAAGCGCCTACGCGGTCAGGCCGCCCGCTGGATGACCGGGGCCCAAGACGTCAACACCAGTCGGGGGAAGAAAGGGAGTAGGGACCAAGCAATTAGCAGGGGCGCCCGCAGGGAGGGCTGTCCGGGCCTCCGATGTGCACGCGGCCCAGGATGTTGTGAACTCCAGTCCTCCGTTCCTTTGCATGACCCCTGACCCTCCAGGCTCGTCTGGGGAGCACGAGGCCGCAGAAGACCAGAGCCCCCAGCCGCACCCCCGAGGCCAACCCCGGGGCACCCAGCCAGGCCTGGCGCTCCATGAGAAGCCGAAGCCGGGGCCAGGCTCATCCCCAAGGCCCCGGGCCGTGCGTCCCTGTTACCTGAAGACCCACTGTGTGCACCAGTGTGCACTCACTGCCACCTTGGTGGCTGCTCCAAAACCCCCTCCCGTTTACAGGGGGCGGGGGGCGTGTCTCATGCACCCCAACGACCTACCTGGGCAGGGGAGTTAATGGCGGCCACGTTGTACCCATACTGGAAGGATGACCCAAAGGCAGCAATCAGCGTTGCCAGGCCAAGCACAAGGGTCAGCCTCTGCGGGAGGAGAGATCCTGACTTAGGTCACAGAAAGCAGCTGCGGTTCACGAGAACCCCTACTTTACCCTGAAGTCTTCTAGAAGCACGGGAGAGAATCCGAAGATCCTTAGCCTTCCGAGTGTGCCCCATGCCTACCCTCTACCATCTAACCTGGCAGAAAAGCTTCCCTCCGGGTTCCTGGGAGGCTCAGTTGGTTAAGGGTCTGACTTCGGCTCAGGCTCACGTGAGTTCGGGCCCCGCGTCGGGCTCTGCGCTGACGGTGCGGGGCCTGCTTGGGATTCTCGCTCTCTCTGCCCGTCCCATGCCAGTGCTTTCTCTCTCTCTCTCTTAAAATAAATACATAACCTTAAAAAAAAAAAGATTCCCTCAACCCCAACACTTAGGGCCAGTTAATTCTTTGCCCTGGGGGGCTGTCCTATATGCACTGGAGGGCCATCCCTCCCCTGCCTGCGACAATGCAGAGTTCTCCAGGCACTATACATGTCCCACTGATTGGCGGGAAGGGGGTGGGGGGATGAGAATCGCTAGGTCAGAAAGACCCGGAAGGGTCCTTTCCTCCAACACTGTAATGTCCGAATTGTTTCCGTAACATTCCTGACGTGTGGCTGTATTTGCTGACCGTAGCAAATGCACTCAGTACTGCCTTGAACACAAAGTCCCCTAAAAATCGGGGAGGAGAGAATGGGAAAAAAATTTTTTTTAATGTTTATTTTTGAGAGAGAGAGAGAGAGAGAGACAAAGGGATGAGTGGGGGAGGGGCGGAGAGAGGGAGACCTAGAATCTGAAAAAGGCTCCAGGCTGTCAGCACAGAGTCCGACACGGGGCTTGGACTCATGAACTGAGAGATCATGACCTGAGCTGAATTCGGACGCTAACCCAACTGAGCCACCCGGGTGCCCCAGAATGGGAAAGTTTTCATCGTTTATTTAGGGCCTCTGATTAACTTCCTTTAGCCTTTGGACTTTTGCTGTAACAGATGAAAGGCAGGGTGAGAAAATCTATATTTTTTTAAGTTTGTTTATTTATTTTGAGAGAGACAGAGGGAGAGAGAGAGAGAATCCCAAGCAGGCTCTACGCTGTCAGCACAGAGCCCGACGTGGGGTTCGAGGTCACAAAAGGGTGAGACCATGACCTGAGCTGAAATCGACAGCTGACGCTTAGCCGACTGAGCCACCCAGGCGCCCGGGGAAAACATTTAAATACAGATTTCTGGGGCCTCTCACACACATGCATTCTGTGCTAACATCCCCCTTTCACCCACGAGGAAACTGAGTACGCACAGAAGGCAATCTTTTCGACGACCAGAGGAAGGTCGTTAGCAAAGTCACGGAAAGCCGGAGAAAAATCGAAGTGACAAAAGCTTTTCTCTTGGAATCTGCAGGTTTCATCTCGCATGTGTCCACTGCCACTTTCTAGCTTCATTGCTACAGTCTTCAGTTTCCTCATCTTCCAAAGGAGGGTCATAACGCTCCCTCAGAGCCATTGCAAGGTGTAATTGTGAGAGCGATTAGCCGTGGAGGTGAATCCACTGACTGGGGCCTGGATGGGGCTCTCGGAGGCGGCCGCCGAAGCACCTTCACGCACGTATTCCCACGGAGGCCCAGTCCAGGGGACACGTGCCCTCCCCCCCACCGGCGGGGCAGGGCCTCAGGTCTTCCTCTGGGTGGGCGCCCCCCCCCCCCCCCCGCCTAATCCAAAGAGGGTACGAGCTCTGCAGAGGGGTAAGTGAGGACCAGGGCAGGCAGAGAGCCGGTGGTCCTTCCTGCCTTGTTGTGGTGCTCTGGGGAGCCCGAGCTGGTTAGCCCTCTGCACAGCAGGAGCCCCCAATAAATGAAACCTCACCCTCCTCCTCCCCCCACCAAAAGGATTGACGAATGGCTAATTCAGGAGCGCCTGGGTGGCTCAGTCCGTTAAGCACCTGACTCGATTTTGGCTCAGGCCGGGGTCTCAGGGCCTGTGGGATTGAGGTCTGACAGCGCGGAGCCTGTGTGGGATTCTCTCTCTCTCCCTCTCTCTCTGCCCCCTCCCCTGCTCACTCGCGCTCTCTTATAAACATTTTAAAAGACGGTTAATTCAGCAGAAAGTTTCTGGTAAGCCAGGTAAGAGCCTTGGGCTCTGGTTTCCAGTCTCCCTTCGTCCCCACCATCCCCCGGAGCCGGCGTGGGGCGCAGGTGACAAAAGTGGGGGCGATGGCACCCAGGAGAGAAAGCGGGTTCCAGGGCTTCTGCCGCGCTGTCCTGTGATTTCTAAAGGCAGGGGGTGCACAAGTAGGCACATCCACGCGCACACACCCCCACCAGAGACGCACTCACTTCAACATGTGGAGCATCCAGACAGGGTTCTAAGTGCTGGGGATACAGTGGAGAACAAAACAAAGACCACTCCCCTAGGACTGTTCTATTGTTTGATTTTGTGGCAGGGAGGGAGGAAGGGAGGAAGGAAGGAAGAAGAGAAAGAAAGAAAGGGAGGGGGGGAAGGAGGAAGGAAGGAAGGAGAAAATTGATAAACAGTTTTCCTCTTTAATTCTCTTCCAGGTAAACGATTAACTAGAAACACAACAGGCTTCCCTCATTCTGCCAAGTGCAACTCTCGGCCACTTCCCACCTCGATGGGTCCTACGGTCTGGAGTCCTTGGCCAAGCGCTGCTGGGGGGCTGGCTGGTGCCCCAGAATGGGGGATGCTGGCAGGCACCGTGGACAGTCCGCGGCCTGACTGCCTCCGTGGGGTCCCAGTGAACGTGACCAGGAGGAACGCGGGTCGCAGATAGAATCTCTAAGCACAGAGCCTACCGTTTAACATCTAAGGTCCATCTTCCTCCTCGAGTTCAAGACGCGGTCACATTCTACAGACCCGTACGGGTCAGGGGCTCCCCTCTGCGGAAACAGCAAAGCCATTCCGGGAGGTTCTCACTGACCTTGCCGGTCCGAATGCCTTCGTTCATTAAACAAAGTGGCTGACAGCTGACCGTAGTCCAGGTGCCACGCCAGTCTGGTGATCAGATCAGCTGCCCTCCAACACCAGGCTCCAATGCAGAAGGCAGACGTTTAAAAAAATACATAATAGGGGCGCCCAGGTGGCTCAGTGGGTTGAGTGCCCGACTCTCGATTTAGGCTCGGGCCATGATCCCACGGTTGTGGGATCGAGCCCCGTGTCGGGCTCTGTGCTGACGTGCAGTCTGCTTAAGATTCTCTCTCCCTCTGCCCCTCTCTGCTCTTACTCTCTCTAAAATAAAAAAATTGGGGAGCCTGGGTGACTCAGTTGGTAAAGCATCCGACTTCGGCTCAGGTCATGATCTCATGGTTTGTGAGGTCGAGCCCTGCATAGGGCTCTGTGCTGATGGCTCAGAGCCCGGAGCCTGCTTCGGATTCTGTGTCTCCCTCTCTCTCTGCCCCTCCCCCACTAGCGCACACGCATGCGCTCTCTCTCTCTCTTTCTCTCTCAAAGATAAATAAACATTAAAAAAAATTAAAATAAAAAAAATTTTTTTTTTCAACGTTTATTTATTTTTGGGACAGAGAGAGACAGAGCATGAACGGGGTAGGGGCAGAGAGAGAGGGAGACACAGAATCGGAAACAGGCTCCAGGCTCTGAGCCATCAGCCCAGAGCCCGACGCGGGGCTCGAACTCCTGGACCGCGAGATTGTGACCTGGCTGAAGTCAGACGCTTAACCGACTGCGCCACCCAGGCGCCCCCAAAAAAATTTTAAATAAATAAAATAAACTGGGGTGCCCGAGTGGCTCATTTGGTTAAGTGTCCAACTCTTTTTAAAAAATAATTTTTAATCTTTCTTTATTTTTGAGAGAGAGAGAGAGAGAGAGAGCGTTGAGTGGGGGAGGGACAGAGAGAGAGGGAGCCACAGAATCCGAAGCAGGCTCCGAGCTGTCAGCACAGAGCCCGACGTGGGGCTTGAACTCATGAACTGCAAGATCATGGCCTGAGCCAAAGTCAGACGCTCAACCGACTGAGCCACCCGGGCGTCCCACGTGTCCAACACTTAGTTTCAGCACAGGTCATGGTCTCATGGTTCATGGGATTGAGCCCCACAGGGGGCTTTGCACGAGTGGGTGCAGAACCTGATTGGGATGCTCTTTCTATCTCCTTTTCTCCACCCCTTCCCCACTGGCATTCATTCTCTCTCTCTCTCTCAAAAATAAACAAACTTTTCTAAAAAGGAAAAAATAAAAATACAAAAGTACATAATAATTGAATAATTTAAATGAACTGTAACTTTACCATACTAAGTGTAACTGTAGTGAGCTCTACAAAGAAAAAAAAACCACAGCGCCCCCTCCCTAGTCTCAGCAAAGGGACTATATTTAAAAAGGCGTGGAAAAGAAAGCCAGGGTTTAAGCTTTCTTTCTTCTTCTTTTTTACTTTCCAGGAGGGAGGGGAAAAAAAAAAAAAAAAAAGACTTAGCACTGGGTTAGATTAGGGCATGAGGGAGAGCAAAGGATTCCAGGTCCCCCAGCAGCCTGTAAAAATGACGCATGGCCCGGTGGCCTTCAGACATGAGCCGGGGGGTTGGGGGGGGGGGTCTCCTCAGAGGCCAAGGGGAGCCATGACGCAGCTCTGCTTTCTGGAGAAATCCCACATTCCTCACGCCCATAGTGAGCTGGCTTCCTGTTCCATAATGCTGAGTACCTTTTTGAGACTTAGTAAAATAGCCACCTTCAAGGCCGGTCCTCCCGGGGCACAGTGTCATTCAAGGCCACTGAGAAAGGGAGCCCTGCCCAAACGGGGTCCCTTGGGGATTTTCTTCCAAGATCCATTCAGTAATCTCTGTTAGAACGCAAGCATCTCCAGAAAAGTTAGCTCCTGTGAATTATTAATTCTTTGAGCCACTTTCTCACACTCCTGATCCCAAAGTTCAAACAGAAAGTGGGGCTTCGGTGGTGAGGGGACAGAGGAGAGGTGCCTTGTCCTGTGGCTGTGGTGGTTTAGAGCACAGTGGGGGCAGCCCGAGAGCCTGGGATCATCAGGTCCTGTGCTCCTGCGGCTGGCCGTGTGGCCTCGAGCCGGTCACTGAACTTCTGTGTCTCAACTCCTTCACCTGTAAAATGGGGACAGCGATACTCCCTCCCTCATAGGACTGAGGTGAAGAATGAAGAAGTTCTAAGAAAATGAGTTCTAAGAAAACCACTTGGAGCCCTGCCTGGCTTGTAGAAAGTGCTACCCACAGGTTTGCTATCATTATTATGAACAATGATAGAACCAGAGGGAAGTTACTATGACGCTAGATGTGTTGTTGATGGAGGCACACGCCCACAAGGATGTGTTTACAGGGCGCCTGGGAAGTTCAGTCAGTTAGGTGTCTGACTCTTGAGATCAGCTCGGGTCATGGTCTCATGGATGGTGAGTTCGAGCCCAACATTGGGCTCTGTGCTTACAGCATGGAGCTTGCTTGGGATTCTCTCCCTCTGTCTCTGTCTCTCTGTCTCTCTCAAAAATAGATAAATAAACTTCGGGCACTTGGGTGGCTCAGTCAGTTAAGCTTCCGACTTCAGCTCAGGTCACCATCTCGTGGTTCGTGAGTTCGAGCCCCACGTCAGGCTCTCTGCTGTCTGCATGGAGCCTGCTTTGGATCCTCTCTCTCTCTCTCTCTCTCTCTCTCTCTCTATTAAAAATATTTTTAAACTATTAAAATAAATTAAATAAATAAATAAACTTAAAAAAAAAAAAAGGACACGTTTTTCGTTTCTAAAACACTTGGCATATTTTTTTTCTTAATCTATTTGTCCCCCCCCTCCAGGCCAAGAGTACTTTTTCTGCGCAGAAAGTCCTTGATGCACATTGGTCAGATTCTGGTTTTTTCTCTTTACATATGAGGAACCCAAAGGCCACTGAGGTCATGGTCACACAGCCAATGGGGGGGGGAGGGGTACAGAAAGCTGTACCCCGCCCCCCACCCCCCAGCCCAGCCCGCACAGCTCCAGCTTTCTGCAGGCTTCCCCGTGCTCCTGAATCCCCCCTGGACTTCCCTTCAAGATCTGCGGGTTCTTGCAAGCAGCCATCAGGATTCTCAGGAAACCCAGCACGCGTCCTGACTTTTGTCCAAAGGGGCAGGTCTGCCCTCAGGCAGCCGGGAAGGGGACACTTTCATCCCCCCTGGCACTGGAGGGGCTTCCTTCCTCCCAGGGGGCAGGTGGCTATACTCAGCCCAGACCTTTTGCGTGTGACCGTTTTAACCATTTCCTTTCAAGATGGATTGCTGCTTTTCAGGGCCCACGATGCAGGGGCATTTCTGTTTTTCTGCAACCTCACGTGGGGGGACTGCCAGGCAGTGCACCTCTCTTTGCGGAGAGGGCACAGATCACACCAGGGTCTCTCCTGACTCCCAAGCCCCTCTGGCCGTGTTCCCTCATAGCCTCTTTCCTATAAAATAGAGGGGCACTGCGCCTGAGAGGTCTAACACTTTCTTAGTTGTCGCGAGAGTCCACCAAGGTCCATGCGAAGGCGCTCAGTAACCTCGAAAGCTCTATCTCTCACGGGACAAGAGCACTCCTGGCTTCTAAGGAGTGGAGACCAGGGATGCTGCTGAAAATCCTGCCTTACGCAGGCCCGTCCCCCGTAGCACAGAATCATCCGGCGTCAAATGTCATCAGTGCCCTGCTCGAAAGGCTGATCGAAAGCAATAACATTTATGGGGGAATCACTATGGGCCAGATAATTTACATGCATTACCCCATCTCACTGTTCCCGCAGCCCCATGAGGTGGTATGGTTATTATCCCCATTTCGCAGATGAGAACACTGAGGCACGGAACAGTGAAATAACTTGCCCAAGTTCCCACAGCTAGAATAGGATGGAACAGGAGTGAAACCATCTCCCAAACACGCTCGGAACCCACAAGCCTCAGGGCGTGCTCCTGACCTGCCTGTGGACACGGTCTTCTGTCCCGGACGGATTAAATAATAACTTGCACAAATATGTGCCTCTGCCTCCATAAATACAAGCAAATGCTGCTGTGATGAATAAGACACAAATCCTTTCAAAGCATTCATAATACATTCCTTTTATCTTTCTGTCGTTATGCATTTTCGTCAATCGAGGGAATGGGGCGGTGCGGGGGTGGGGGGGGGGGGACGAGGTCCAGAAAAATCTGTCTCTGAAACAAGGGAATCTCCACTGCAGATTTGAATTCGATTCGGGTCTTGCACGGTCTTTTCCGAGCCCACCTTCTTCCCACGCTGGCCCAGCCGTGCGACTTGCTGAAAAGCCCAGTGAAAACCTTCTGCAGCCCAAATCAAGAGAAATCCAAAAACAGGGGCGCCTGGGTGGCTCAGTCGGTCAAGCCTCTGACCAGCTCAAGTCACGATCTCGCAGTTCACGGGTTCGAGCCTCGCGTGGGGCTCTGTGCTGACAGCTCAGGGCCTGGAGCCTGCTTCAGATTCAGTGTTTCCCTCTCTCTCTGCCCCTCCCCTGCTCGCGCGCTGTCTCAAAAATAAATAAACGTTAAAAAAAAAAAAAAAAAGCCACAAACCATGTACAAGGGCTTTTGCTGCTGGTTTCAGAATCCCTTCACCTCCAACTTTTAAGGGTAAGGCAGTTGGGACAAATTAACTCTTTGCGTCCCTTCCATTTGGTGACAGGGCTTTTCAAGGCTGTTCCAGTAGAACGATCCCCAAACAATCTCTAAACTGAAATGTCTCTAAAGCTGGCCGCTAGTCCCCGTGCAAGTGAACTCTGAGGGGCAGGTTCCCTCCAACGGTCCACCCCCCCCACCCCTCCAGCAACGCTGAGCCGACTGTTCTAAACTCCTTCCCCGGGGGGGGGGGGGGGGGGGCGCTTACCCCTTCCTTCTTGGCCGGAACCTGCTCCATCCTGGCCCTGAAAGTGCGGCTTGCCCAAGCCGGTTCCTTCTTTTCCGCCAGACTAACAAGTGCTCTGAATGGAGACAGAAACATTCTGGCTGTACTTTGGCCGCCAAGTCACAGCCAATAGCCTGTTTTTTTTTACAGCCAGCCCGACACAGACTAACCCTTTCAGGAGTCCCGACGTGTGTCTTCTTTCCCCTTCTTTCTCAATTCAACGTCTGGGGTTTAGCTCAGCAAGAGGGTGCCCCCCACCCCCGACGGCAGGCACAGCCTTCCCGACGGCGGTACTTCCTCACTGCACAAGTCTCCACCAGGAGGCTCATGATGCGAGGCCGGCGGGGTTATTTCTGTCACAAGCACACGGAAAGCCGCCGGCCCCACGCCACTCCCGGTCCCGCGAGGGCAAGAGATCGGGTCACAGGAGGTTTCTCAGAAGCGGTCCCTGAAGGGAAGCCTGCCGCAAATCTCTCCGAGAGACTCAGCTCCCGCTCGAATACCCAGGCCACGCTGGCTCGGAGAGTTTCGGTTCCTTTGTAAGGAACCGAGTGTGTATGATGCGAAGGGTGTATAATCATTACCGCTCTAAAGGCAGTAGATAGTCCGGATGCCTTTATCTACAGGGCAGGGAAAGTGAGTCACGGCTGCTGCTGTGGGCCCTCCATGCGTGACCGAGGCCGCGGCCAGACCCCGTGCTCAGCACGGGTGCAGCTTCCGTGGAGCGCACCAGGACAAGGGGCCAAGATCCGGAGCGGAGTCCCACGTGGCCCGCAGGCTTTCATGTTTGCAAGATATATTCCCCGTTTTATCTGCTGTGGGACAAATGCAGTGAATTCGGCCGTTCCTTCCCCTGGTGCAGAAATCAAGTCAACGGGGAGGCCTCTGTGTGTTGGGCACTGTTCCTGCATCAGTAGCAAACTTGGGAATTGTGACCAGGGCTCCTGCATGCAGGAGACTGTGGGGGGGGGGGGGGGGGGGGTGACTGGAGGGGCCTCCGTGTGTGTGGGTTGGGGGGGTCCCTAAGCCCCCCTCACAAGGGAGGATTGGCCATTTCTTCCCCACAATTTCACGTCCTGTCCTTTCTTTCTGGATCATAGCCACGGTTTCCAAAGAAGGTTTGCCAAGACCAGAGGTTTCCAGTCATTTCAAAGAGGTTTGGAAAATTCTCCAGAGAAAATGCACTTTAGGTGGGGGGAAAGAGGAGGAAGGACACAAGTTGTGCAAAGAAAGAAACGGCCGCAGTTTGCAATCCTGGCTCCCGGTGAGGCCCAGCCGCTCCTTGTCCTCCTACACGCTGAGCAGAGGTGGCACGGAGGTCCCTGCGCGGCTCCTTGACCTGCTCAGGTCGAGCCTGGTTCCTGCGGGTCCCCGGGTTTTGTGGGCACAGCTGGGTGTCACCAACGCCCCAGCACGGCCCGTGGAGGGGCGAGTGGTCGGGCCGCCCTCCACCCAGACCCCCCTTGGGCTCGAAGGCTCCAGGCAGGTGCTGTGTCTCTGAGTGGTCCTTCCCCGCCCTGGGCCCAGCAGCCTGGGACCTCTGGTGGCCGTCTCGTTCCCCCGCCCCCGCCCCGCCATAGAGGGGCCCTGGGCTCCCAGGATCTGGGCACTCAGACAGGGGACTGGCCCAGGGGTCAGAGGCAGACCCCCCTGCCTCAGGCTGACTTGGGGTGTGTGGCCTGAACTGCCCGCCCTGCAAGTGGTCTTTGTGGTTTTCTGAACTCTGGGTGGCGGTGGGGAGCCTCACTCCCCCTGCCCAGTCCCGGTCTGGGACCAGGAGAGGAACCTGCCACTTGAGGCTTATTTTCACCATGGGTTTAAAATGACAGTAATGAGCAACACTGATTAATCCATTGTGTATAGATATTTCCCAGAAAATACATGTTTTGAAACTACCTCGAAGGAGAGCTAAGGAATCACATTTTAAATTTTTTTTTTCAACGTTTATTTATTTTTGGGACAGAGAGAGACAGAGCATGAACGGGGGAGGGGCAGAGAGAGAGGGAGACACAGAATCGGAAACAGGCTCCAGGCTCTGAGCCATCAGCCCAGAGCCTGACGCGGGGCTCGAACTCACGGACCGCGAGATCGTGACCTGGCTGAAGTCGGACGCTTAACCGACTGCGCCACCCAGGCGCCCCAGGAATCACATTTTAAGGGAAAGGGGACAGTTGCAGGGCCATAGTGGGTACTGGTGGGGCCTCTGACTCTCTCCCCCATCGTCCCTAAAGGTTGGTTCGTCACAGGGAAATTTATTAGGATTTTATCATTGAGGGAGAGAAGGACCCAAAGCCAATTTTCCTCTTTCTCAAGAAACAATGTGTGTATATTATTATTAGGTCTCCTCT